TTTGTTGGTTTTTGGTTTGTTTTTGTTTTTTGTATTTTTTTTTTGTGTTTATTTTTTTTATGTTTAAATACTTATGAAAATTGTTGTTGTTAGCTTCTGCTTTGTGTTGTTGTTCATATGAGTGATGTGAGTTTTTGTTTTATAATATTTTTTTTTTTTTTACTTTTTTTGATAAATGAAGTTTTTGCCATTTTTTTGTAGATTTTTTTTCTTGTTGTTGTTCTGAATGCGACGGCAGCTAACTGTTACTATATATGTTAATATCTATAATATAAATGTAGGTCTATGCTTGTATATTTATGTGTGTGTGTGTGTGTGAATGCAAGTGTGTGTGAGAGAGAGAGAAAATGTTGTGTAGTGATTCTTGTTTGTGTTGTTGGCATTTCTATCCTTTTCTCATATCGTTTTCGTGTTTGCTTATCATTTTCATCAAAGTTGATTTCAAGTTAGGAATGGAACAAAATACAAGCAAAAAATGAGAAAAAAAAAACTTTACAAATTACAATTAAAAAGTACAAAGAGAGCGTGATCCTTCGATAGAGACAGATCTTTAGTGAGATGGATAGAGAGAGAATGAGAGAGAGAGGGAGAGAGATTGACAGATTGAGCGAGATAGAGTTACAGAGATACAGTGCTCGAAAGGAAATCATTGGTGGGGCTTGCCCACTTATTTACAAAAGTATTTGTCCTCGAAGCGCTGACAATAGTCACAGATCAGCTGGCAGCACAGGCCATTGCTGAATCGGCAGCGACAGTTCTCCACCTGTTTAAAGACGCGTGTGGTATAGCCACGCCCACAGCACAAATTCGCACAGTTATCGGGATGCAGACACTGGCGATCCTTGGTCACCGAGCAGTAGGTGGGCGAGGAGTCCAAATAATACAGCGTTGTGTATTGCGATTGCTCCTGCTGCGCGACATGAAATAACATATAGTGAAAAATATATATAGTAATTGATGAAAGATAAAGAATATATTAGAGAGCTATGTGCTCTCCATGTAGCTTACTTTCTTGCGTCGCTGTTTGGGCTTTTTCATGCGACTCGATGGGGCCTGGCGCATGGTGCGCTGGTTGGGTGCCTTCCGTATGGCCTGGTTGTACTTCTGGCGCAGCAGCGTGGCCGTGGCATTGAAGTCAGCCATCTTCTTCCAGCAGGTCTTCATCGAACAGGAGCCGGAGACACCGTGGCACTTGCACTTGTCCATCATCAGCGTGGAGACGGCCTCAATGCCAACCTGATTAGTTGAAGTTTAATTATTTATTATTTATTTATATTTTGATCTATGTCAAACTTACCTCAGAGTCATGTCGCAATATCTCAGTGACCTCGTCCCCATCGCCGCCGCGCAAGTCGAGGAACTTGCGCGTGACGCGCTTGCCGTGCTTCAGATTGTCGTTGCATCCGCCCCACTGAAAGTCCTGGTCCATGCGGTTCTGTTTGCTCGGCCCGCAGCTGCACTTGGTCATCCGGCCCTCGGCGCAGGCGCGTGCCACCGAGTGGGTCATGGCTGCCGCTGTGAGCGCATGCACAAAGGCCGTTTCCTTGTAGAGTTTCTTGAATATGTTGCGTTTGCCGCGCGTCTCGATCGAACAGTTCCAGCGATCGTAACGGAACTGATCCTCACAGTGGGTGGTGGCCAAGCGTCGTGCCTCGCTTAATGTGGCCGGCAGGCCCGTCTCCTTCCGGCACTGATGATTCTGGCGCCGTGTGGCAGGCATATAGCGACAGGGGCCTCCCACCTGGCCCTGCGATGTGAAAACGGCCATGACTGTGTGCTCCGAGATGAAATGTTCGCTGTAAAATATAAAAACAAATATTAGATAAATTATTTTTAAATATAATTCGATTTTTAGAGTTTATAAGAAATATTTATTTTAATTGTTTAATTCAAATGATATCAAAACGTTCCAGCAGTTTTCTGGTTTGTGTCATCGCTAAAATGCCTAGCAGCTGGAAATTAACGAAATTTCGTTAAGTTCGTTAAGCTGTTATGTCTTTGCTAAGCGTGTACACCAACCAGTGGCTGCAAAATCAAGTGCTGGAGCAACAAGCTTTTTGTCAAGCTCAAACGGTTTTATTTCGAATTTCTGGAACTAGTAATTGAAATTCTGGAAATCAACATTTAAAAATGTATACAAAATGTGCAATTTACACAGAAAACAAATATTACATGTGTAATTGAATTTAATTGTATTTGTATTACTAGAAATTTCTCGACAGATAAGACACACCCATAATTGCTGTAAGAATTGATAGAGGAAAACCTCTTTTCCTTATCAGCTGCGACCCGTTATGAAGTTTCCAAGAATCGCAGAGCATTTCGGCAGAGTTTATAAAAACTATTATTTATACCACTATTTATTCGGAGCTTGTTTTTTTAAGTGTATCTGCTCTGTTTTCATAATTCCGCCTCGCTTCCTGTCCAGCTTTGGGCAACGTGCAACGTTTCTCACTCGCGCACTCTCTCTCTCTCTCTCTCTCTTTCTCTGTCTCACGCTCTCTGTGATTTGCAGGAAATCTTAAATTCTCATAAAACTTAAGTGCACCGTAAATTGGCGTATGAGTAACGATCTCAGCATTTCTTGTCTATTTCCGTCTACGTCGCCGCCTCGGGGCAAACACATCGGCAACGCGCGCCGCTTATTGCCTCGGTTTACCTCTAGCCTCGACCCATAACAATTATGCTATGCTCCGCCCACCGCTCACCGCCCACCGCCCACTGCCCACTGCCTGCCGCCCAGCTGTCCGTTTTGATTTAATCTTTGCCTCTTCATAATTGTTTTGTTTTGCTTTCTTGTTCTTCTTTTTCGTCTTCTGTTGCACGTAATTTAGTTGTTGCGTGTGGGAAAAATCGCGCGCGTTTCTAATGCGAAATTAATTTGGCTAGATTTTTGGCAATTAATTAATTAATCAAGTGCTTCCAACTGTTTACAAGTCGCTCGACTTTGCTCCACGCGGTATTTTGTTTGGCGCTTGCGCCTCAGCGAATTTTTATCTATTTATCTCCCGCTGCTTTATTTCGATATTTGACGTAGTTTTCGATTTGATTAAATTATCATTTGCAAATGGATTGCCTTAGCTGCGAGATGTGTACCTGGGTTAGTTATGTGGCTCTAGCTGAGTGGAAACAATTTCATTCATACAAACAATGCGAAGGCTGCACATTCCTAAACAAATTCATCAGCATGTCAATGATTCTGTGTATACGATTCAGAAGTGATATCATATTGAATCTTTGCATTGCCGGATATTTAGTAAGGGAGGATATTGTATATGTATGTATGAATGTAAAATAAGACAGCCGCGAATAGATGCTATAAAATATCAGGGGTAATCTGACTGATGAAAAATTGACATAAATTAAAAATTAAATATTAAAAATTAGTTGACTCTATACACAATATAATTAAATCAAATTAAATTTATAATAAGAGCAAATATGTAAAATATACCTAAGCTACAAGATAAAAAAAAAAATAATAATAATAAGAGATAAATAAATAATTAAAATAAAAAATAATAATGAAACAATTTTACTAATAATAAACACATATAAGACATTCTTTTAGCATTTCAAAAAAGAGCCAAGATACAACATGAATATAAATAAAATATAATATGCAAATGAACTCGATCAAATATAAAACTTCTTGACTTTTTAATTTGTTTATAAATTTTATAAAATTGGTTTAGTGAGACAATGGCTTTAATGATAAAAATATGTATATTTTTTTATTTTAATATTCGTTTATAAATTTTTTAAATTAACAATTTACCAAATTTTGACAAAAATTGTATAATTTAAAAAAATCTCAAAACTGCATCAACTAAATAAAATCTCTCAGCTCATGGCCTCACTTAGTTTTATGAATATCTATACAGAAATATTTACGACTTTGATTCAAGCAAATGCTGATCGATCTTATTGTCAATATCTCAATCAATGTGCTTTTGTATATTTATCCATTGTATCAACAACGATTTGACGCAACAACAAAAGACAGTCTTCAATTACAGCTTAAAGCTCATGTAAGTTGTTGTGTAAGCTTAACCATTGTTGTTCTCATTGTTGCTGTTGTTGTTGTTGCAAGTGCAGTGCAAAGCGCATTAGTCAAAGCCCACATATGAGAAGCTGCCCCCACACACCCCACATGGCCCCATGGCCGTCCCCCTGCCACTCTGATATTCTCATGTTACCCACTTCAAGTTGGTTAATGTGTGTCGCCTTATGGCATGGAACATGTGGAATTACCAGCTCAGTTCGACTGTGTCTGAGTGCGAGTGCGAGTGTGAGTGTGAGTGTGAATGTGAGTGCGAGTGTGCGGGTGTGGGGGCGTGTCACTTAATCCTTTTGACAAAACGTTTACATGCGAAATGAAATACAATTAGCTATGCAGGTGGGCGTGGTTGTAAGCGAGAGAGAGAGTGAGAGAGAAAGAGAGGGAGACAGGAGTAACGACTTACTCTGTGCACTTTAATTTCACAAATTTAGCTGCCAGCAATTTGTATCTTTGAGATACAAAGTAGTTGAAAGCTATTAAAACGGCCACAGAGCAAAACAAACTGTAAAGAGCTATTGTTGTTGTTGTTGTTGTTGGTGCTGCTTGGCTGGCCAAACAACAAATTGATAGGCAGACAGACGCATGCACGGACGTACGGATGTGTGCCAGCAAACACAAGAGAGAGAGAGAGAGAGAGAGAGAGAGAGAGAGAGAGAGAGTGCCACAGGCAGACAGAGAGCGAGAGAGCGAACGAGCGAGCGAGTGAGAGCGAGAAAGGGGCGACTATAAAACAAAAGTGTTGATGGATATTTTCCTCGTGCGCTGACTGACTGACGACAACGGCATTGAAGTTGTACCTAGCTGTTGTTGATGATATACCATGCACTCAACACGATTATTATAGAGGGTATGCTCAAGGCCTGAAGGAGTTGGGCTCATAAAACATTCTCATTTTGTTTGGTTTTAGATTGCATATTTTAATAATTAAATTATAAGTGTTTGGCATTCCAAAAATATTTGTATTTATTTTAGTTTAATATTATCTTGACATTCCCATTGAATTTGAATTATGTGTAATATATTTTTATTTCTTTTATAGAATATACATTTTAATATTTTAGTTATGATTGATTGCAATTTGAAGAATATATTTATTCTTATTTTTATTAATTTTTATGTGTTTTTTTTTTGTTTTATTTTAAAAATGTAGTGAAATTTAATTTTTTTTAAGTGATTGAAGTAGATATTTTTTTAACTTTTTTCTTTCAGCAGATTTAATTCATAATTGGGACTAGAAATTAAGTCATTTCAATTTTGCCTTTGTGCATACTAAATATCTATCTAGCTGAAAAAAAAATTAAAAAAAAAAAAAAACAGGGTATTATGCCGTTCACCCTCAGAGCATTAATATACTTATTTTAGTCTTAGTTGTTGTTGTTGCTGCTGCTGCTTTGAGTGCTACGCATTTGTACAGATTCATCAAATTTTCAGAAACGTAAAATATTTAACACACACATGCACACACTCACACACAGGCACGCACATACGAGAAAGAAATCCCTTTGTGCTGTGGCAAAAGCATTTTATGGACTTACAGTTTAAGTCGCCGCAACAGCAGCAGCAGCAGCCAAAGAGCATATCAAATGTGCAGCAGCAACTGCTGCAGCAGCAGCAACAGCAGCAGCAGCAGCAACTGCTGCAGCATCAGAAAGCGATTTGAAAGTAGTTCGAAATTGAAATCGACACAGGAACATAAAATCTTTTTAAAGTAGCATATGCATATGAGCTGAGTTGGCTGTGGACCGAGGCGTTGGCTCTCTTTCGTTATTTCTATATTTTTTGTTTTTTGTTTTTTTTTTATGGACTTTTACCATTTGCATTTTATTGCCAAAACATAAATGCAGCTGATACCAGCCTCCCCCTCCCGTGCCAGAGTCATGCCCACTTTATTTATAAAACGCTGCACGAGCTACCGATTGTTGTGGGATTTGGATTCGATGCCTCATTGCGCCTTTGGCGTTCTGTTTGTTTTCTTTGGCCATTGGCCTGTCACATAATTTCAACTGAGAGCTTCAATTAAAACGCATTGGCCAATTGCAAATGCAAAATTGAAAATTGCGAATTGCAAATTGCAAATTGAAACTTAATCGCATTGTTTTGTAAATGGGCAAACGGCAAATGAGGCAACTGCCTGCGAGGCGCATCCACTTTAAGTGGCAATGGGACAGACCGTCAGACCGCCAGACCGCCTGAGACAGCCAGCAAGACATTCAACTTGGTCGAGTTGACAGTGTCTGTCCGTACGAAGTATGCCCCACAGATTCGCTTGGTTTGCTTTAATTGATGGCAGTCTATTGCAGCCATTGGGCCCTCAATGCGGAATCCATTAATTGGGAATGGGGGCTAATGAGCCATCCGATGCTTGAGCAATTTCAACTTCTATGGCCATTAATGACTAAGGACAGTCGATTGGCTTTTTATAGACTGGAAATAATCGTATGACAAAATGTTCCAAAAAATAAAACTATATGATTCTTAATTGTTTGTGAAGCCTCATTCCTTGATATATAGTTTTCTAATTTTTATGTGAGTCCATGAAAAATGTTTGTACATAAAATAAATAAACCTCAAATTAGAACTTTTCCGAAAATATGTTTAGTTTATTTTAAGAAAACTAGAACATATTAATTTTAGAAACATTTTGTTTATCTAAAATATTTTTGCAGCTAATTTTGTTGTCAATAATGTGATTTTATAATTTACTTTCATTGTTTTCATTTTAAAACGAATTTT